GCAAACAGCTTTTTCGTTCGAACGCAGATTTTTTTCGTTCGAACGCAGATTTTTTTTCGTTCGAACGCAGATTTTTTTCGTTCGAACGCAGATTTTTTTTCGTTCGAACGCAGATTTTTTTCGTTCGAACGCAGATTTTTTTCGTTCGAACGCAGATTTTTTTCGTTCGAACGCAGATTTTTTTCGTTCGAACGCAGATTTTTTTCGTTCGAACGCAGATTTTTTTCGTTCGAACGCAGATTTTTTTCGTTCGAACGCAGATTTTTTTCGTTCGAACGCAGATTTTTTTCGTTCGAACGCAGATTTTTTTCGTTCGAACGCAGATTTTTTTCGTTCGAACGCAGATTTTTTTCGTTCGAACGCAGATTTTTTTCGTTCGAACGCAGATTTTTTTCGTTCGAACGCAGATTTTTTTCGTTCGAACGCAGATTTTTTTCGTTCGAACGCAGATTTTTTTCGTTCGAACGCAGATTTTTTTCGTTCGAACGCAGATTTTTTTCATTCTTACGATGATTTTTTCAATTTTTTTTTTTCACCTATGTCCCTTTAAAAGCTCCGTACATTACAACAAGTAAATGGCCATCCTCCATACAAACGATCAGTGTTGAAATACGCGCTGTATTCACACACAGATGGGTATAGGCTAATGCATACACCCTCGACTTACTGAAACCACAACTCCTAAAAGAAATGGGTACTGAACATAGTATTTGTACCCAATATAAATTTAGTTTGTCTGCTTGCTGTAGAAACCAAATATTTCTGCTTGTGGGAAAAAACTGTATGTTCGTGCACGGGAGGCAACTACTAAACATATGTAGTTGTAGTGGAACACGCACATTGCTTGAAAACTAATTTCAAAAGACAATTTATTTGTCAGAAAAAAAACCTGCAGATGCATGTCATTTACGGCATGAGAAATGGCTGCAAGAGGTCCTCCACTCGTGATTAGTTAATTAAGGAACCACAACTTAAAAAAAGAAGATCTCGCGTAAAACAAATGGAGCCAATTTGCACAAGTCGTTGAAATAAATGTGTCGAAAATGCAACGTTTTCATGCCGAATAACAATAACATAATGATCAATAAAATTACTGAAGCCTAAATATGCTTATCCATATGAAATATGCACTAAAAATCCAACGATTGGCCCACTGTCCTCACTTTTCATGTAAGATACCAACACAAATTTGTATTCACAGGGCGAGTGAACCCAAGGTCATTTGTTGTTATGTGTAACTAGGCACTTTCATCCGCACGTCATCCTCCAATGGCCACCATACACATACGTGATATGTGGCCTGTATTGACCAGATAACAAAGGGGCTGGTCAATTATAACAATAATAATAATAAATACCGGAGTCTTATGCGTGTATATCGCACGTATGTTCCAACAATATTGGGTACTCAAGGTGCTGGCAATTATGTCTATTTTAAAGACAGGTAAATGATTTTTTTGTTATGACAAATATGAGACCCATTATGTAGCACCTTTATTAAGGGAATAAATGTGTGCTCCGGAGGTTTTTATCACTCTGTTTAATACCACTTAGAGTCTGGGTGCTGATAATTACCCGAGCCGGAGGCGAGGGTAATTATCAGCACCCAGACTCTAAGTGGTATTAAACAGAGTGATAAATACCGACGGAGTACATATTTATTCCCATTCATAAATACCTTTTCGGTAAAAAAAAATCATATAATTCGTTCAAAACATCCCGATTTTGTTCAACAAATTCACTTTATGCTTTTTGAAACATCCCTCCTGCAAAATAATGGAGTGTTCAGCTGGCGAGTAAGATGAAAACAACCCTTTTATGGAAATTGACGCGCGCGTATCATGTTCTACGCGATGTCGCGCAGAACGCACCTGGCGCGTTGCGTTTTGAATTTAGAACTATAAAATTCTAACTCCCTGGTAGTGTTGCGCATGCCTACGTGAGGATTGTGAACGTTCAACCAATGAAACGATAAGAGGCACTGGATTTTTAGGAGTCCACATTTTATTGTGACACTGGAAAAGTGTTTAAGACCAGCTAGCCATGTCTTTATCATCCGTTTAATACCGGCCACGTGACGGGCTCTCGACCAATAGGAATGGCTAAACTGTCTGAGGTATTTATGAATATTGTTTAAACCTCACCACCTCCCTCCGTCCCCTCCATGTATTAGACATGTTTCCCGCCAGGTGCATCGCCGCAATTCAGTGACTCTTGTTACCGTATTAAACGCACATCTGCTTTTTAATAATTCGAAACAGAAATTGACTTGACATTTAAACCAATATACCGTTGTGTTTGAACAAAATTGACTCCACCTTGAAAGAGTAGTCAATAATAACCCTTTTTCATATTTCTTTCTGTAAATGGCATAAGTTATGGTGCCTGTTTTAATGGCAAGTCATGAGCAGTTTGGCATTTGGGTCAGGACAGTTGAGTATTCAATAAACCGACAAAAAAATATAACGATTCAAGTAAAGAGTTCCACGGTAAGGCAGTACGGGGGAGAAACGTGAGTGAGTAATACACCACGATGCCTTGCAACAACAACAAAAACCGTATGGATGAGAGAAGAAAGCAAATCTTAGTCCTTTGGGGAAAAGAAATGTAATTCTGTGTCCTGGAAAAGACGATCTGTGCCAAAAGTGTTTTACTATAAGAAGACCTTTTGTGTGTTTATTTCTCAGCAAAAGAACTCGACAAAAATACTCCAGAATGTGTTGGACATTATAGCAGGCAGAGACCGTGTTTTGGGTCGTATTGGAGCAGGCACGCTACCGGAGAATCGCTAGACGGAACGGTGGCGCCACGGCGGGTGAGCTCCGCCAGCGCCAATGGGTCGGGACAATAGTTTTGACGGGCCCAGCGAGCAGGAGTGCATTCGATAGCACTACTACCGTTTAGCAAACATGCGCAACGGCGGCAATTTCTTGTCAGCATTTAGGACACCATGGGAACATTCGAAAACTATAGGGTGGAGGAAGTGGGTGGACATCACCTGGCTATTATATAGGGTACGATGCTCGGTGTGACCGGAGATGCATTTTTTTTATAATAATAAAACAACAAATGGAAATATTTATTGAGGAGTGCCAAAGACAGAAAGAGGCATGATGACCGTTAAACCTTTTGGATTTAAAAACATTCATCAAAGTTCTTTGTACATCTGCGAATGGATTACAGAGGGTTCAGGGTCATGACGTCAACAACCCGGAGGTCATTGTAGTGAGAATTTGTGAATGATCGGTTTTCTTTATTTCTTGAAAATTATTTCCGTGTGTAATGACTGTGTTCGTACCACAAATATTACTGTCCGGTGCAATGTTGACCTTTGACTTACAAATCCTTTGACAGGAATTTAGGTGTTGTTAATACATACACTAAAACATTCATATATAATGTCACATTCTTCAGGTCTTTTCATTTCATGATGAAGATGTATCATTCTGAACTAAATCAGTATTCAGATTGCACATTTAAACTAAATGACCATGGGCGTCGCCAGGATTTTTTCCGGGGGGGGGGGGGGGGAGCGAAGCAAATTGTTTCCCAAAATTCCTTAACTTTTTCATTGTATTCTCAATTTACCATTTTTCCGAGCGTGAGCGAAGCATTTGCCCTACCCCCTCCATCAAATTAACAGCAATATGGTTTCGCACCTCTTTTTCCTTCCCCCACTTTTTTTTTCGTTTGCGGGGGAGGGGGGGGGGGAAGTGCCCCACTTGCCCCCCCCCCCCCCCTCGCGACGCCCATGTAAATGACGGTATCAAACCGGAAATAACGTGTGTATTCAAAGGCTAGTTTGAATGAAAGCCGGTACCATTCACATTAGGTTGGGAACGTGTGTGACGCCAGTATAAACATTGCTTGTAGTTAATACTGAGCACAGAATTCTAACTTAGGTCATGCAAGCTTTGAAATGAAGAAAAGCATTTCATCTCTGTGGAAAGGTATTAACAATTGCCCATTGAAAAATGTAACGCACGCAAACCGTGCAAGCTATCACAAACAATTTTGTCATGTTGAAGGTTCACTGCTTTTCGGTCAAACAGGTTCTCCCTAGGATATTTTTTTTTAAAGCTGTGGGGTATAGGTGATATGTCATCATTTAAACGCCATCTTAACACTCATCTTTTCAATCTTTCATTTGAATCACAGCGATTTGTTAGTGACCGGCGCCTTTCAATGGTCCTACAGATACTGTGCGCCTTATAAATTCTCTGTTATTATTACATGCATTAGTATAATTATAAAATGTGTCGTGGTTCAAGAAATTGCCAGGCCACGGCTTGTGGTTCGGGGCCCGCTTAGCTTTAGTTTAACGTTAGTTTAAGTGTCAGACTGTGTGTTTTAAATATGAGGAACACGTCAACTCCCCCCCCCCCTGAAATATCTGTGGCAATTTTGAACCTTCCCTCATCCCCTCCCCCGCCCCTCCCACGACGCCATATGGGTGCGCGCCTGTAAATACATTCCCATAGACACTAGTGCTAAATGTCCATACTTCAAAATTCATTTAAAAATACTCAGAACTCTCACAGGTATTCAAGCTGCACAGAAAAATGATGATCAACATGTCATCTTTCATTTTCTTTTCAATTTTGGGTGGGTTGACCATTGCCTTTTTGAGATATTCTCACCCAAATAAGAACACCCCTAAAACGAATGATGTTTCCCGAACTGGAAAAGTAGCCATTTTGAAAAAGAATCCCTCCACAACATGGCTAAATAGCGCCACTTTCGGGCCAGATTGCATCCAAAATGCTCAGAATTGGAAGCTCCAAGTCCAGGCAAGAGGTTCAGTGCCACATGTCTTCAATTCCCCAATTCCATGGTTCTCAGAACTCTCTAATATAGAATATTTTGAGGGTATAACTTTTATTCATGAGCTCGGCGGACGGATTTTTGGTCTATTTACAGGCGTGCACCCATATGGTATACTGGAGCCACCATGTTCTTCTATAGCCAAATGGATATTGTTCAGGTGGCACGTAGCGTCACGCACAGCACCGTGCCACAATTCTTCGCTCGTCGTACTAATCGTTTGGTTACACGTTTGTCTCCACAAAATGCAAACTCAGTTTCGTGTCCTCGTTTCGTTGGCGGCAGTCGTAATCGTTCTGACTACATCATGGATCTCCTGGAAAATGGACTACGGTTTTGGCTCAGGTAACTACTTTCAAATATTGCGATTTTTACCCTCTGTGCTTCCATTTTGTGTTTCCGTTTTTGACTACATCATAGACGTCAGTATTGATGTATGTGTGTCCGTCGTGTGTATGCAAATGTATGCAAATGCGTGTTTATTATCTGAAAATCATAAAACAGAAGGCTATATTCCGCTCAAATCATCTTTAACATGTACATGTAATTCTTTTATCCTACGTGAGTACAGGGTAGAGTTTGTTTTTACTAAACTGCAACTTCCATAAAAAAAAATAATGATAATGTTTTTATTCCTCCACTGGCGCTATTTACCAGCTGGTGTACTTAAGATGAATTAATTACAACTCGTTGATATAATTATATGCAATTACATGCTTGGTTGTGTTACATTTTACAAAACAAAAAGACACTAAGACAGTACATCTCCCACAAGCCCGCTGGAACAAACTTTTGCCAGGGGGCGCTGGAATTTCTTAAGGGCGGACAAAACTAATGCAAACGCGGAGCGAAAAGCCCTTATGGCGTGGCTTAAAGGGTCCCGGGGATTCTGGAATATGGATGCTCTGTGGTGCAATCTGAGGCGATTCCTGGCCTCTTTCATATCACTTTTTTAGCAAAAGTTTTTTTTTTTGAGATTAGAAAGACAATTTATTTCACTTTTTTGTTTAGAATACACTGCAAAAACTGTAGTGTTAATTTAACACCATTCGGTATCTATATAGGACAACACCAGTAAAATTTAACACCAGATGGTCCTATATAGATACCAATGATGTAAATTTAACACTCCAGTTTTTTGCAGTGTATACTGTTGCTCTTATAACGTTTCTACTGTACTGAAAATTCGAGAACCTTGTATTTTTATCTCCATTTTTTTGTTCCATTTAATTCTGTCAAAAAGAATTGTATCATTATGCATGACATCCCATGTAAATATCATTGTTGCAAGGTTGCTTTCTTACATTTAGCAAATTCCGTCATGTATGTTTTGTTTTATTTTCCGAGCCCTTACGGCGTGGGGCCACAGGGCCAGGGGCCTGCTTTAAGGCCCCGGAAAATGTTGGAATCTGGATGCACTGTGATGAAATATAATGAAGTATATACTTAAACTTATAAAACCCGAAAGGATTTTTTTTGGTTAAAGTTAAAACAAAATGGTTCCACTGGAAGCGGATGAATTTCTGTTCATAAAAATATTCACACAGGCCCAGTGCTCTCTTTATATTTGCAGTGTTATATATTTGTTACAGGGAATGGCAAATATAAAAGACTAAAAGACCAAATGCATCGTTATGTTTATGATCGGTTGATGGCAAGATCGTTCTACTGAGTTTTTATGAGAAAAAAACTTGCAGAGGGTAAAACTTGAAGCAACGGAAGGTGCCATTTCAAAAATTTAAAAAGGTTTTTAATGCCATTGACCTGCGCTTTTATCCTGTGAACATTTCAAAAACAAATTTTTACCTAAAGTGCCTAGTGAAACAGTGGCACCTGTCAAGAATCGTGACTTTTTGTTTTAATTTTTGAGAAGCTTGTCCACAAACAGTTGTTAGATTATTTGGACAAAAAAATATTTTAACTGAGAACCAGTCGGGCTTCAGGCCAATGCACTCTACCCAAACTTGTCTTTTGAACGTGTCTGACTACTTACTGGAAAATATGAATTCTGGGTATTTTACTGGTGCAGTTTTCTTGGATTTAAAGAAAGCGTTCGACACTGTTCACCACGGTCGTCTTATCAACAAGCTTAACAACATTGGAGTTCGTGGCCTTGAACTTGACTGGTTCTCCTCATACTTGTCTGGACGGCAGCATTTAACCAAAATTGGTAACAACTATTCTACCTTAGCTGGAGTAAATTTTGGAGTTCCCCAGGGATCAACATTGGGTCCACTTCTTTTTACCTTGTATATTAATGACATTATTAATACTGTTTCTCCAGACTCTAGGATGTTTTTATACGCTGACGATACGGCTATTTTTACTCGGGCCAAATCTAGTGATGGTATTAACAGAGTTCTTAACAGGGACATGGCCGAAATGTTCAAATGGTTGCAGATTAATTTTTTAACTCTGAATACTAACAAAACCAAAAGTATGTTTTTCGGTACTCAAGCCAAACTAGGTCGAAGCGAGGACAATTTACATGTCGAGATCAATAATATTGCCATTGATAATGTTACTCAGTTTAAGTATCTTGGTGTTCTGTTAGATCCATCTGTAACATGGAATGTGCATATTGAGAAACTGTCAAAGAAAATTAACAAGCGTGTGGGGGTTCTCCGTAGAGTCAGAAATGTCCTGCCTCAGCATACACTAAATTTGTTATACAAAACGCTGATTCTCCCGCACTTTGATTATTGTGATGTTGTGTGGGGTAACGCTTCAAAAATGTCCCTCGTCAAGCTTGACAGACTCCAGAGTAGTGCTGGGCGAGTCATCTTGGGTCTTCCCCGGAGATCCCCAACAGACTCTGTTTTATCGACTCTGAGGTGGCATATTTTAGAAGAAAGGCGTACTTTTCACTTGAATACACTTGTCTACAAGAGTCTTACCTCGAAATTGCAACCCCAACTATGCAACTGTTTCACTCATACCATGAATGCTCACACACATAACACTAGGTCTGGTTCTCAAGGCAACCTTGTTCCCCCATTCAGTAAATCTAAATCAGGTAAACGGACATTTGTGGTTCGTGGAGCTTATTCATTCAACGCCCTTCCTACACCTCTTAAATGCCCTTTGGCTGCTACTCTTGCCAGCTTTAAAAACACATACAAAAACCTGCTTTTTTAATGTACTAGTGCTGTACCCATCGATAATGTGCCTGTTATAATGGGGCAAATTGCTTGACCTCTGGTTTTGGTTGCTTACAGCTTTTTGAGAACTGCTCATCATGCAGACAATTTATGCGCCAGATTTAATATTATTCACGCAGAGTTTTATGCAGTGCATGGGTGCTCTTGGGTTTTTTTTTTCAGTGCAATTCTTTGGGTGTGTGTATCTGTGTTTTGTTTGTTTTTACTGAATGGTCCATGATTATTTTTTATGCATGTATATTTTAAGTGTTTTTATGTACCCATATTTTACTATTTACTATTTTTAGTGTTTTCTGTAATTGTTGTTTTAAATGAATTGTTCTGTATAATTGCTGGGCACCTCTGGAAAACAGTGTACCACTGAGAGGTTTCCCCAGGGTAAATAAGAAATAAATAAAATAAAAATTGAGAGTGAGTCAATTTTGTTCAAAACACACAAGAGGTATACATTTAGTTGGTTAAAGTTATGAACAGCCGCCGGTTTTCTGTTGCGAGCTATTGAAGCAGGTGTGCGTTTGAGAGTCACCAATGGCGGTGATGCACTTGGCGGGAAACATGTCCAATACGCTGGGGGGGGGGGGGGGGTGTTAACCAGTTTATCATTTACATAATTTTCGTTTATCCCATTATTTTTGGGCAAAATCCCTATACTTGGATCAAAGCTCGTACTAGTATTAAACACCCCATAAAAATATTCCGTCTGGCTAGCAGATCTGCTGGCTACGCCTCTGCACCCGCCCCTCCACCTCCTTGAAAAATAATGGATCCGCATCTGCTAAGGCCAACCAAAAAATCCAGTTTCTGGTATGGAGCTTGTCCAAAAAGTGGTGCGGCGACGCGGCTTTTTTTTTCTTCTTTTTACCTGACTTTTTTTGCTTCAAATGTCGGCTGATGACTGCAAATGGTGCCCGACTAAACTTAGTGCAAGTATATGGGATTCCAGAGAGGCCACATAAAGCTTATTCTCGATCATAACCCCATCTAAAAACACGTTAAAATTGTGCAGCAGCAGGATTTCAGTCAAACCAGTGAGTTTGGTGGTTTTGAGACATTATCTTTCATTGGAAAAAAAAAACCTTTTTCATTTTGCCGACGCGCATGGCTACGGCGACGCGCGCGCATACCAGAAACCGGAAACTTTTTTGGGGCCTAATGATCCACTATTTTCAATTCAAACATTGCATTCATGTTTTAGGGCAAACGCCCAATGAATGTCGTTTGTGATTGTAACCCAATGGAAATGAGCCTCTGTGATTGTGTTGGTTTTTGTGTGTGCTGTATCTGACGAAATCAACTGTCATTTGTTTCTCTGTCCTTGCAGTGTTGTGTGCAGTATAATGTTGTTGAATTACAATTAAATTGAATGTACTGTCGCGTTCCCTAATAGCAGTTCATTAAACATTTGTTAGAGTCACAATATGTCAATAATTCAATAAGTTGGAGGGAAACAGAGCTTTGGGGTGACAGTCACACATGTCAATACACTGATTTATTCATCTCGTCACTCTACATAACTTGTGTAGATTTCATCAACCTAGGGTTTCTCCTTTTGGTAGTTTGGTAGCAGGCACGACACCGGATAATCACTAGATGGAACGGTCGCGCCATGGTGGGTGCACCCTGCCGACGGGACAAAAGGGACATGCGCTTTTCACCCCTCAACGTACCCTCAACGGGATTGCCGCCCATGAATGATGTAGGCCTACTGTGGGTGCAATGCTTGTTTGCATCAACGGATGCAGCGGTCGATGTCAGTATACTATTCTTGTTTGTTTGTGTCATGCCAGATGGAGATTAGCAAATAATGCCCAGTCGATGGTCATTTCGAAAACTAAACAACAAGGAACAAATTCACAGAATATCATTGCTGGCCCCCACAGCTGACCGCCTGCTCGCACGCATGCATCGTAAAACACAAACGAGCTTTCACTTTCACTTTCACTTCACTTTATTTTCCATGTCAATGTCAATACATAGGTAAGGATGGTATACATAATCACCGACACCACGAAGTAACACTCTACCGTGTTAAAGCATTTTTTTTTCGATTTTCAGTTTTTTGGATTTTTAAACATTATTCATCAAGGCCTACCATTGCACGAAGTTTCAAAGCTTCAAGAGCTTTACTTTAATAATTACGCAAAGTATCCATGGCAACTTTTGCGCAAAAGTGACAATTTTCGTTTTCACGAAGTAACACTCAAGTTCCATTTTCCATTGCAATGCATGACGCGCACTCTGCTCATAAGTGAGCAAAAAAGTTTTCACGAAGTAACACTCTTCTTGTAACAAGTTGTTTGAGCGCGCGCGCGCTGACCTGAAGTTGCACTTTCCTCGTGTTAAATACATTGAAGAGTGTTACTTCGTGAAAACGAAAATTTACAGTTTTGCAGCTTTTTCGGTTTCACGAACTAACACTCATCTTTTTTCTCTTATTTCTTGTTTATTTAATACACAAACGAGTGAAAAAAACAGCAGATTTAATAAATTCAATTCAAGTGTCCACAACGAGAAACCCAACTGAAAATACTCTGTCGTTTTGACGCAAAGTGTTGCTTTAGAAGGCGTTCAACTTTAGTTGCCGTTTTCTCCGATTGCTAGTTTTTACTGGTATGTAGATGGGTGTTACTTCGTGGTGTCGGTGACGATATATAAGGTGATGGAAGGGGCCCCCAAGAAGCACTGCTTGTCGAGTGGGGGCCCCCGTGAACATTAAGTCAACAACAATACACAAGTTACAACCATGGAAAATACGACAAAAACCCAGGGAAACAAACTAAATAATAACAACCAAAAATATATACAAAATATATTACATTCAATAAGTTTGTATGCCGTAACCCTGTAATAATTTATTTAATAAATAAATACATGTTTAATAATTGATATTTGTATTTGCTTTTAAAGGTAGATGGACTGGCTATGTTCTTTAGTGACTTGTCAATCGAATTCCACAGCTTGGGCCCCTCATGCTTCACAGTGGAACACACCGATTTGTGCAATGCAAATGTGTTTACTAAATGAACCATTCATTGGTATTACAGTGTTTGAATTGAAGGGTCTTTAACTGAGTTGCAGGCAAATTCTAAATGGAAGTAATTCAATCACAACTTATATGTCAAGTTTACCAAGTGTTGTGCAAGGTATTAAGGCAGTCGGATTGATTTTTGTACCAAAACTGCCATGCACGATGAAAACGTGTGTATAGGACCGGGCGCTTCGACGTGCAAGACGAGGTGCTGTGCAATCTCGTATTTTTTGGACCAGTTAACCCCAGGTTTCCCCTAAAAAAAAAACCTGCAATCTGTCTACGACATAGGTGCCGGCAACAGGCCGAAACAGCCTTTGTTTCCGTTAAGATTTTTTTCCAGACTCCCGTCCGTAGCATCTGTACACGTTTTGAACGTGGAAGGCACTTTGGGCACTAAAATCAATCCGATTTCCTTTATATTGGGCACACAATTAGACCAGCATCTGGAAATGTGTGCCGAACATTAATCTCAACATGACGTCATCACGAGTCAGGAGACGTCACATTTAATTCGCATATTTTGAAGGCCTGTATCTCCAAAACTACCAGGCATCCCTGTGAGAGCTGTTTTTGTTTTGCTGAAAGAACACTTACTTTTAAAATTCTGTGACTGAAAAGTACATGAGTGGTTTGAATGATTGACTGATTCTTGTACTAAAAGTAAAGTTTAATTGACTGGGCTTTCATATCCTAGATTTTGAGGAGTGCTACAGGCAAAACTTCATTCAAAAATTGGCCCTGCCATTTGGGTTTCGTTTTTTTGTTGACTCAACCTGCACTGGTTAACATCAGGTTGCCTTTTGGATAAGTGTTCTTATCAATAACAATGATAATTTATTGTCATTCTTTTGCTCCTTGCAGGGATAGACAGAAGCCTTTCACCATCGGTACCAGATTTCATGAACACCAGCTGGGAACATGAGAAACAGTCTTTTCATCCTCATCGAATCGTCATCATCGGTTCCGGACCTACAGCTCTGGGTGCTGCTAAAAGACTCTACGATCTCGGGCACGGCAAAAACAACAGCGTGATCACCATCCTGGAGGAGCTAGGCAAACCAGGAGGCCTAGCCTCGTCTGTCAGGGATGATAAAGGCTTTCTCTGGGACGTCGGAGTTCATGTCGTATTCTCCCATTACACCTACTTTGATCGAGTCCTGAACATGGCAGTACCCGAGTGGAACTACCGGCGCAGGGCGTCATTTGCCTTCATGAAAGGATCAGATGACACGAGGAGGTTCATTCCTTATCCAGTTCAGAACAACATTCACGTCATGGATAAAATTGATCAGCAGAAAAGCCTGAAAGGCTTAGAGGAGATTACCAAAAATCCCAGCACCCGTAAACCAAAAAATTTCGACGAGTGGCTGCTGCAGAAATTTGGAGAGGGTCTCGCTGACGTCTTTATGAGGAAATACAACCGGAAAATCTGGACAGTTGACACCAAAGAAATGAACTCGGCCTGGGTTGGAGAGAGGGTTGCCGTACCAGACATTAAAGAGATTAAGACCAAGATTGCAGAGGTGGACAACGGGACAGACGCCAAGGATTCCGAATGGGGACCGAACCGTTTCTTTCGTTTCCCCAAATATAATGGGACTGGTGGAATTTGGGAGTCAGTTGCGAGAATGCTTCCAAGCCACTGGTTCAGATTTCACGAAAAGGTAACTGCAATTGATATTGACCGAAAAATCATCACCGTCGAGACTGGAACTGGCGTTAAGACATCACATTACTCATTAGCATACGATACCTTAATATCGACGGCGCCCTTAGATGTTTTTACATCATTGTTGCGAAGCCACGATGTTTCCCTATGGCAGATGCAAGAGCTAGCATCACAGCTGGTGTACACGCACACTCACATCGTAGGCATCGGCCTCACCGGTCAACTACCAAGGATCCTCGCTGATAAATCGTGGGTGTATTTCCCGGATTCTGATTCTCCTTTCTACCGCGTGACAATGTTCTCCAATTATTCAGATGACCATGTACCAAAACCTGGAGCATACTGGTCGCTTATGTGCGAAATAGCCGAACCACAGAAAAGTTCTAACCCAGCGTATTGGAGTAAGGACAACTTGATAAAAGAATCCATTCAAGCCTTAATCTTGTACGGGTTTATCACTGCTGATATGGTAGTCTCCAAGCACTACCGTCGATTGGACCACGGATACCCCGTCCCTTCACTTAAAAGGGATACGATCCTTGACACCATACAACCTTGGCTGAAAATCAAAGACATCTACTCCCGTGGACGGTTCGGAGGTTGGAAATACGAGGTTGCCAATCAAGATCATTCCTTCATGCAAGGGGTCGAGGCCGTGGACAAGTTCCTTAGCAACGTTCCGGAGTTAACCTACCCGGATCCGAATCGGGCCAACTCCAAGAAAAACACAGATCGCACCATACCTTTGGATTATGAATTCGCCATCGCACATTATAACGAGAATCTTGATTGGATAAAGCCTCACGCCAACCACACCCTCATCTACCATCAAGGGAACGACCTGGGTCCACCATTCCAGTTCTATGGCTGGGAGCGGCTGGAAAACCTTGGACGCGAAGCTCACGCTTATCTTGTTCACATTACCACCTACTACAACCAACTCGCCAACGTCACTGTCTTTGCTCAGGGAGACAATATGCAAGGACGATGCTACAAAAATATAATGCAGTTTATCGATTCCGCCAAGAAGGGTATCCCTTGTAAAAGAGCAAAGGTACTCAAAACTTGGGGGCATTTGTTTTTCCCTCCCAAATATTTGGCTCGTTTTAAGAAGTATAAACTAACCATGGCAAATGGGACTTTAGGAGAGATGTACGAAGATCTGTACGGTGAGCCACCACCAGCCAAAGGAATGTGGGTCTGCTTTAACGGCTGTTTTGGGGCTACCAAGCAACAGATCCTTAGACATCCACTAGCCTTCTATCAGAAGGCTCTAGCCTATATTAGCAAAACTCCAAATCAAGAAGAGGGTAATTACTTAGAGAGATTGTGGTATCACTTCTTCGAAGGGGTTGATAAACCTCCCATTGTCCAAAATGCAACTAAAAAGGTGTAAATGGCCTCCCTTCTCGAAGCATGATTATCGTGTGCCTTAATTCATCAAAGTCAAGAAGTAAGGTTGAATTCCTTCCATAGAAACATATTGGTTTGATCTTTCAAATGGAAATCGCTTATCAATTTGAACATATAATTTGGAATAAGAAGCCGATGCTGTAGTATATTCAAAGCATAGACAACGTACTTTAAATGTTAAATGCAGTGTGATTCAAAAAGAAAGTAACCGAGCTTGCAAAAATTTAAAACGATATGTGCTCACTGCGTAATTTGTATTCTCTATTTACATGTTCTTTCTGTTTTAATAGAAATACCCCGAAATTCAGCTGTTTACGAATGGTCATCATACGCTTTGATAAAAATCCTTCAAATAATGCGAACAAATCTTCCAAGGGAACCAGACAAAACTCACCAAACGTGCGTCGTTTTTGTTCTGATTTTGCTTTTGCTTCTCGAAAGCATTGTTTTTGTTTGTGCTTTGTTTTCTTTTTTTTCTGTGTTGCTTTTCAGCTTAAAAGCAGAAAAGTGTTGTTTTTACTCTGATGCTTTTTTGCTTGTCCGCTTAAAAGCGGAAAAGCAGTGTTTTTGTTCTGATTTCTTTTGGTTTGTTTATTCAGATTTTTTTCTTACTTTTTCCCTTTGTTCTAACCCAAATCCCATAAAATGTTAGAATAATGATGCGTGTGGCGACGTTTGCCGAAATCACTTCGTAATTGATGTATATAATCAGCTACATGATGAGAACAAGTTGAGGTGGAGAAATATTGATGACGTCATCGGAGGTTACAATGACAGATGTCTAGACCTTAAAAATGGCTGCGAATATAACCGCGAGAGATATAATCCAGATTAATGCCTCACATAGCAGAGTTAACCTAACTCTCGAACTTTCTGGTAGTGCCGTCACGATTACGTCATCAAGTATCATATTACAAGCAACCAAATATTTCTAGATTTAATCTTTGAAAATCAATATAAAGTCCACTGTGAGAGACTTGAATTCGCTTTTTACGATAATGGATAGAATAATCCAGGGTCTTCATCTTTGATTTTACGTTCCAAATCACGGGACCCTTTCTACCGGTCCAATCTGGAAGTGCCTTAATAATTCGAAAGTGGAAAAATATGTGAGCTTGCTTTCCATGATGTAAGTCTGCGGCAAGGGTGGGCTTTTCAAGGAACTACTGGTCTGATTGGGTTGAAAGTTGGTATGTACCCTGACTGGAATGTGCTATAGATGAAAACTGAGGTGACGTCATGATAACGTCATCACAATAAATATGACTTCATATTAAGTGTGCATATTTTGAAGGCCAATATCTACCGAACTACTGGTCCGATTGGGTTGAAAGTTGGTATGTATGTAGAACAGGATGTATTATAGATGAACAGTTAAGTAACGTAAACATGACGTCATCACATGGCATGTGACGTCACATTAAATGTACAATTGTATGGCCTTTATGTACCGAACTAAAGGTCTGATGGTAAACTTGGTTTGTACCTCCCGCCGACCCCCAGCTGTCATAATTAATGTCATTTTTATTTTCAAGCGACTTAATTTTCATGTCAAAACTGTTATGCTGCAGTTGGATGTATTGATAAGAGGAGATAATTTTGTAGAGTAACTGTTATACTCCTGTAATTGTAAGGACTGGTTTATATATTTGAAAATATTTGAAAATTTCGAGTATGAGAATTACATCCGTTATATTGTAGCGTTTTTAGATGATCAGTTCTTAATTATGAATTCGTCTTAATTTTTGTTAGTTGAACATCACACTTTTATTATCAAGGTTTCTACTGTTTGAAGTTTTTAACATTGATCATTTTTGTTACGGTTAATTTTGTAAAGCGCATTGAGATTTGTTATTATGTAATGCTGTATATAAAAATTCTTCTTCTCCCCCTTCTTCTTCGTCTTCGTCTTTGTCTTCCGCTTGCTCTTGCTCTTGCTCCAAGGGCGGATCACGAACACAATTTTTTGGGGGGCCAAAAAAAAATTTGGTCCCCCAAAAAAGTGGGTCCCAAAAATTACGGCGTGGGGTTCGGGGCCCTGAAGCGGGCCCCGAAATATTTTTGGATTCAAGATGCTCTGTGGTGCAATCTGAGGCAATTTCTGACCACTTTAGGCCAAAAAAAAAAAGTCTCCGGTTTCTGGTATGCGCGCGCGTCGCCGTAGCCATGCGCGTCGGCAAAATGAAAAAGTTTTTTTTTCAATGAAAGATGATGTCTCCAAACCGCCAAACTCACTGGTTTGACTGGAATCCTGCTGCTGCACAATTTTAACGTGTTTTTAGATTGAGTTATGGTCGAGAATAAGCTTTATGTGGCCTCTCTGGACTCCCATAATATTTGCACTAAGTTTAGTCGGGCACCATTTGCAGTCATCAGCCGACATTTGAAGCAAAAATATCAGGTAAAAAAAAAAAAAACGCGTCGCCGAACCACTTTTTTGGCAAGCTCCATACCAGAAACCGGAGACTTTTTTTTATTGGCCTTAACCAATGTTTTTTTGAGGAAAAGATGGTGGTGTACTCATTGCTTGTCACATAAAAAAAAAAATTGGTTTCGTTTTTTTTTTTGGCCCCCTTTGGCCCCACCGGATCCGCCCTTGTCTTGCTCTTGCTCTTCCTCCTCCTCCTCTACCTCTTCCTCTTCCTCCTCCTCTTCCTCTTCTTCTTCTTCTTCCTCTTCCTCCTCTTCTTCTCCTTCTTCTCCTTCTTCTCCTTCTTCTTCTCCTCCTCATCCTCCTCATCCTCCTCCTTCTTCTTCTTGGACATTCCCATAGACTTGTGCTCACAATTTTTCAAACTTGAATGTTTCCTAACCAAATTGTCCTTTTCCACGAATTTTGGTATGTTTACTATTTAAACTACGAGCAACAAAATAACCTTATTGCGACGGTACCATTTTGCCTCTAAAACTAAAAGGGGGCTGTGACATTAGGGAGACATGAAAATGTCTCGCTACGTTCGGAGAAATTACGATAACATGTCTCCTTTATGGTACATTTAGTGTAATTATCATTGATATTGTTATTATCATTCCTGTTTTACGATGAAACCTTCTGATTGTAATGCATTACTCATAGTTTTCCACGTATATATAAATATATATAATTCATATACAATCACCCAGTGTGCCTGTTTAGTACAGTGTGTTATGTTTGAAGCAGAGCAAGTGACCTTCTAGCTGCTACACTTTGCACGCATAAATTCCAAGGCGCATTGGTCATTTGACATTGTAAGTCTCTCAGTACAACCAAGTTACTAGATCAATTAAGTTGCTACAATCCTGGCCAAATCTCGCTGGGCCCCAACCCTCGGCCCCCGCTCAATGTTGTCTTTCATTGCGCGGTGTGTGCTCCTTCAGCTGGAGAGAACAAAATTGACCGGGAGAAAGGGTGACCGTGGGACACTAAGGTTATTTCCAAGTGTCCCAACCATTTCGGCCGGGATTGTAGATCATTGTTATTACTCATCCATCGTCATCTTTATTTCTGAGAATACATACTAAGTTTTAAGTAATTCTCATTTCAAAGGCAAATTGTGTCCACCATATATTAGTACGACCGCATGAGCAGTTCTTTAGTGCAGTGTTCCGTTCATCAGTCAGTTCATCCAGTTCCATTCATATATAGTTTAATTGAATGCATCCAATCGTTTCTCTTCTGCTCGATTCACTTTAACCAGTTTATTTAACCAATGTTTATTAAAATGGTTGTGGAATGAAGTCGCAGTTACACAGTCCTGAACTAGTTGCTAATTACTGATGTGGGCCTATTCAACGAACACAGCCTACTAATAACGTGCTAAATGTGAACGTAAGATCCCATCCCATCTCATCCTTCCAATTTCATCCAACCTGATCTCATCAAATCCCATCCTAGCCCATCCCATGCAATCCCACGCAATCCAATCCAAACCCATGCAATCCTATCCATCCATCCAATTTCATTGTATTCTATTCCATCCCATGACATCTCAATTCAATCCTATCACATCCAATTCTATTATATCACACACCATCAATCACAAACCACCCTTCCCCTCCAATCCCATCCAATCCGATCCAATCCCAACCCATTCAATGCAATCCCATGCAAACCAAACCATGCAATCTCATCCCATGCCATTCCATCCCATCCCATTCCGTCCTATATCATCGCATCCCATGACATCCCATCCCACCCTCTCCCTTCCAATCCGATCCCATCCCATCCCAACCAATACACACTATCCCATTCAGTTCTATCATATCACATGACATCAATCACAAACCACCCCTCCCCTCCACTCCCATCCCATCCGATCAAATCCTAATCCATTCCATGCAATCCCATGCAAACCAATCCGAACTAAACCATGCAATCCCATCCCATGCCATTCCATCCCATTTCGTCCTATACCATCGCATCCCATGACATCCCATCCCATCCTATCCCTTCCAACACCATCCCATGTCATCCCCCCCCCCAAAAAAAGTGAAATAAATTGTCTTTATAATCTCAAAAAACGTTTGCTAAAAAAGTCATTTGAAAGTGGCCAGGAATCGCCTCATATTGCACCACAGAGCATCCATATTCCAAAACTTTTAGGGGCCCTTTAAGCCACGCCGTAAGGGCTTTGCGCTCCGTGTTCGCATTAATTTTGTCCGTCCTTTAGAAATTCCAGCACCCCCTGTTAAAAGTTTGTTCCAGCGGGTTTGAAAATAAGGTTCAATAGTCCGAAGGTTCGATAGTCCGAATTGACAATAAGGTTCGATAGTCCGAAAAGACTCTATGATGGTCCGATAGTCCGAATCAACAGTAAGGTCCGATAGTCCGAATCGACAATAAGGTCCGATAGTCCGAATCAACAGTAAGGTCCGATAGTCCGAAGAGTCATACTGACGAACCGTATTGCCCATTCGGACAATCGAACGTTATTCTCAATTCGGGCTATCGAACCTTTTTCTCAATTCGGACTGTCGAACCCTATCGTCTACTCGGACTATCGAACCTTCGGATTAATTAACCGTATTCTATTTTCGGACTAATGGGACCTTCGGACTATCGAACCTTCGGATTATCGAACCTTCGGACTATTGAACCTTCGGACTAACGAACCTTTGGACTAATGACCCTTCGGACTAGAGAACCTTCGTACTATCGGGCTGTAACCATTACAAACACAATACCAGTGCAGCAAGTCATGTCCTGCAGTTTGTAAAGGTTTTTAGTTTGGGACGTGAAAAAGACAAACATTTATCCATGATGCACAAGCACAAGTGTGTTTCTCGATTAAATACACCATCATTGTCGTTGATGGACCGTCTATCCTATTGAAGTATCCATCAGACATCATCTTCTGTGTGCCACGAGCAGAGCATTTCTGAAGGTCCACTGTGTGAGTAGTTTATCCTTTCTTGTTATTTTCCACAAAGCTGGATT